TCCAAAAATGCCCGCCCAGATGTCGGATCTCGTTGAGATATCTTGCAAATTTTGCTTTTCCCGACCCGCCAGCACGAAGAGTCGCAGAAAGGCTACGAGTGCTCGACGAGTTTTGAGACCTGCGCGGTCAAACCTGGGGGGAACTGACCGCCCCATGAGGGACCCGGGACGTCCGAAACCTGGAGCAGGCGCACATCGTTTCCAGGGAGGGGGGGGCATTTTTATTCACGCCCCCCCCCCCCCTAGCATGTGGTGAAGCCTCTGGGGGGGTCGGGACCCCCCCCTAGCATGTGGTGAAGCCTCTGGGGGGGGTCGGACCACCCCCCTTGCCTAGCACGTGGTGGGCACCCCCCCAGCAGTTCGTGGGCTAGGAATAGCCGCCAGAGATCCGATTTTGGCCCCCAAAGTTGTGAAATCGTGGCTGAAAGTCCACTATCTTGGAGAATCTGACCAGTCTCAAGGCTCATATAGCTCCAAAGGATGATTTCCCCCTCGAAATGCTCGAAATGAGGCGTAAAATCAAGGGCCCGGAGGGTCTGACCACGAGTCTCTGGGGGGGTCCTCGGCCACGACCCCCCCCCCAGCATGTGGTGAAGGTGCTGGGGGGGTCGGGACCCCCCCCCTAGCATGTGGTGAAGCCTCTGGGGGGGTCAGACCCCCCCCCCCTAGCATGTGGTGTGAGTAGAAGCGCGCCCCCCTCCCTGGAAGCGAGGTGCGCCTGCTCCGACCTCTTTGGCGAAGTTCACAGCCTTGTTATGAGAAGAAAATACGTCCTATGGCGCTATGCGCTGGTCTGTGAGAGGTTGAGGTGCGAGCCCTGGAGGCCCTGGGGATGGGGGGAGACTACCCGCGGGCCTAGAAGGCCCGCGCGCAGGGGGGTGGGGCATTGAGACCGGTCATGAATGAGTGCGCGACACGCATGTTGCGAGCAGCGTTGTTGATGTTCTGCGCGTCGCCACAGACGGCGGCGTGCGCCTGCACAGTCGGAGTAAGAATTCGAACGCGTTCTCTCACGGTGACAAAAAAATGTCCACCTCAGAGGCACCTCCGGAGGCAGGCCGCCGCACGCCGGCGACACAGCTCCAGCTGTCGAGCTGACCCGCAGCACCTCTCAGAGCGGGAACTGTGACAAAAGTTGACTGAGGCGGTTGTCAGGTATCATCATATGGATCACATGGTGGCTCTTTCATGACGGGAGACCGCCCGACCACTCCTGGGTGGCACTGCCGCCGGTGTCGCGCTGTCGACAGCGTGCCGACAGCGACACAGACCATGTGGGACGCGTCGAGTATCGACCTCTACTGCTTACCCAGCCTTCGAGTGTATCCTGGCTGTGGTCCCACACCCACTGGTGTCCTCTCAGAGACCGCAGGAGGTCATGAGGGTCGATGGGAGTGCCAACCTGTTCATGGTTCGATCCTCCCCAGAGTCGAACTGGCAGCCACTCGCACCGAGGAGGCGAGGTGTGGCTACGTGACCCGAAAAGGCCAGAGTCAGGAGCAACCCTCGAGCTGGGTCGCTCATATACTCAACACGCCCCCACGACGCAGCACGAGGTTGCTGCTGTATCCGATACCGCCGTGTTTCGAGGTAGGGCAGGCGTTCCGGGACGCGAGTTCCCCCGGGTTACCTTGGGCACTATTTTCGATCTTTTTCGTAGCTCACACACGAAGGGACTCAAATCTTCGCAGACCGCCGTCGACCTGGGAGATCTCACCGGAGGTACCATGTTAATGGTTCGATCCTCCCCAGAGTCGAACTGGCAGCCACTCGCACCGAGGAAGCGAGGTGTGGCTACGTGACCCGAAAAGGCCAGAGTCAGGAGCAACCCTCGAGCTGGGTCGCTCATATACTCAACACAACCCCACAATGCCTAAAACCCCCAGCCCAGTAAGGACTATAATCCAATAGGGTCGCGTCCGGAAAGCCAAATTATCACTCTCTCTCGCAGCTGCGAGGGTGAACCTTCTTTTGTAGAACGCTAGGATTGAGAGCAGCCTCGCTCTCAATCCTAGAAGTCGAAGGATTGGGAGCAGCACTCCTCGCAATCGTAGCATCCGCGTCTGTGCGATTGCGCCGGCGCTCGCAATCCTACATCTTCTAGGACTAAGAGCAGCTCCGCTACCAACGCGACTGATGACGCCTACGACTACTGCCAGTGCGCTCGCAATCCTAGCAAAGTCTAGGATTGCGAGCAGCACTGCTCACAATCCTAGCAACATGCCTCCGATTGCGAGCAGAGCTGCTCGTAATCCTAGATCTCGTAGGAGTGGAAGCGGG